AAAAAAAAAAAAAAAAAAAAAAAAAAACACATAAACAAAAGAAACCAAAGCACCTAGACCATCCTACTTCTAAAGTATCGCAGCAGCAGGAAGCAGCACAGCCTTTCCTTCTCAACATTCTCACTCCTCTCAGAAAAAATCCCATCGTTCTGCTCCCACCAGAGCAGAAGTTCTGGCGGCTCCTTCCTTTTGTCATCTTGGCTTTCCATCCCATCACACTTGAGCATATTTTTATGCACTGCCATGAATGCAGCTTTCTCGTGCATCCTAGTCCCTGTAAAACTCTTGCTAGATAGCTGTTGTTCAGGTCTCAGTTTGCAAGCAGCAATTTGGAAGTCTGCTTCTTGCTCCTCCATTCCCCATTTCTGAATGGCTTGTGAAGTCAGCAGCTGCTTCTTTGCAGTTAAAATGTGTACAACCTTTAAAGGGCATATGAACGTGCAGATGGCAGAAAGGATGCAGACTGTGCGTAAATCTTTGTTTCTTGGTGTAGAATCTAGAAGTCAAACGCTAATTTCACATTCATGAGATCTTCATGCACCTGAGGCTCAGCTGAGCATCCAAGAAACACCTCCTGGGGTTAAAAGCAGCTTTGGCTGTGTGCAAGCCATCAGGCACTGCAGGGTTTGTGCTTAGCTGTGAAGCAACAGTAAATCCCTGCTCGGTAACTTCCTGCCCAGCACTGTAGAAGTGGGCATATCTATTGAGAACATGATTTTGGAAAGGCTCCAGCTGCCATCTCACAGTGCTGCTCATTCCACCAGCACGAGCTGATCTGTTTGCCTGAACATCCTAAGATGCTTCAGGGACACGGTGACAGGATGTCACTTTCCTGTTTATGTGGTGACACAGCCAGAGCTCATCCCCTGTGAAGGCAGCATTCAGTGAGCAGAGCTGAGCACAGCACCATGCAGTTACCTTCACCTCATGACAGCACCACAGATGGTGCTTCCTGTGTTTGCCCAGAACTTCCCAGACAGTCTTGCTCTTCCCAGCCCCCCCAGGCAGGCATGACATGCCAGGAATCCCTGCTTAGCATAGCAGGAAGGCATTTTCTGACATGATCACTCATGGTTGGCAGTGGTGCCAGTATGCTTAGCCTCACTTGATGTGAAGCAAAACTCCAATATACTCTTACCAAAGAGCCACAGATCAGTCAAAGACTGAGGCTTCAGCACTGCCTGTGTTAGCCATCTCTGTAGTGGGCAAAGGAGACAAAAATGGTAGGAGTCATGAGCTGAGGGTGGAGAACAGCAGCAACATCAGTGCTGAGGAGCAGAGCTGGACAGTGAAGGACAGCACAGACCTGTGAGGAATATTGAGGATGTGAGTGAAATCTCCTTTAAGCAATGCTTCATCGCCCAGCCCTCAAAGTACAGCATGCCTTGATTAGAAGATAAATCAAGGTTCTCTCTGGCTGACAATTTCTCCATGGCATGTCAGGTGGAAAAGCACATTGGAAATACAGCTCTCTTAAGAGCAGCTGCTGTCCATGTTGCAGCATCAGGACCAAATTTAAAAGCAGCTGCCACAATGCAGGTTCTGAGCTCTCTGAAACCCTACTAAAAAGGGAAAAAATGAGGTATTTTCAATGTCAGATTCCCCCTGTGCTATTAAAACAATGAGATTCATGGTTTTGTGCTACTCACCAAAGCTTCTTTGTGCCTATCACGACCTCTTCCCCTGACTGATCAGTCTGCCTACTTCCCATTTAGATTTTTCCTCTGTAGATGAGGTTGGAGATTTGCAGACAGCTAGAAGGTCTGTGCCCACATCCCATAATAGCATGCACATCATTTTGTTGTCACTGTCACTGCAGAGAAAGGCAGAAGTAGCACTTCTCCCCGCTGTGAGGATGCACTGAGCTGTGCTCTGCACCTTGCAGGTTATGTGTCGGACCCCATGAGCACCATGAGGTTTCACTCCTGCAGCAGCAGCTTCGAGGAGAGCAGCTGACAGCACAGTGACTTCCTGCAGAGGGCTGCCAGGACCTGAGCAGCAAGAGTCAGACTGGGCAGCCCAAAACTGAACCACTTCATCTGCTGGTGGTGAGCATCCCCATGATGAGCTTTGTGCCATCACCTGCTGCTGCTGACATGGAGGAGGCAGCTTCTTTCGGTGGTGTGTATCTGATTTTAACAAAGCTTTTACTAAAATCACATGCTTCAGTCTTTCAGTAACAAAAAGACTAAAACAGGCACTCCAAAACAAACCTTTAACCAGAAGGAAAGCCTGAAATGAAGCCAGGTTAAGAAACAGAATACAGAGCAGGGAAACGGACTGTACTTACATCCATACCAACATGCACCCACTTATGGCTGCTTTGTACCATCTCCTGGTAATACATCAACAGCAGACACTTGAAAATAACAGGAAAAGCTTTTATGGGCAGAACCTTTACCTGGCCAAGTGCTTGTAAACAACTTTACTGGTAATTAAAATAGCTGGCTCCTTGAAGAAAGCGGTTTCTGTTAATTGGTCTCTCCGAAAGATGCACCAGGTTTCAGAGGAAAGCATGTTGTAGAGCAGTGATCATTTTTTGTGATTTTTGTGATCATTCACAGAGAAGAACTCTGTGAAATGTAAATTACTGAACAAAATCACACAGAATCACAGACTGTCAAAGAATGGAAGGGTCCTGAAACGATCACCCAGTCCCATCCCTCTGGGAGAGCAGGAACAGCTAGATCAGGTCACACAGGAATGCACCCAGGCAGGTTTTGAATGTCCCCCACAAGCTTTGTGGACAGCCCCATCCAGTGTTGTGTTATTCTCACTGTGAACAAGTTTTTTCTCACATTTACGTGGACCCTCCTATGATCCAGTTTGCACCCATTGCCCCTTGTCATGTCATAACATACCCTAAAAGTCATTTGCAGGAATGGAATTCATTCATGCCATTCCCTGAGAAGTCAAAGAAACATGTTGAAATTCTCATACAGAACATGACAGTGAGGTTTCTTTTCCTACTTTTAAGGACAGCAGTGCCTGCAACCACAGCGATATTTCAGATTGTTATATTGAGACATATGTACCACGAATAGATGATCTACAGCAAAACAAACCATCACCCCAGCAAGTGAGCCATACCTCCCACCAGCACTCAGCCTGGTACCCACACCTGGCCTGTCCCGCTGGAGCCCCAGCACAGCAGGCAGATGTGGGGCCAAGGGTGTGACCCAAGGGGGGGCTGCCATGGGCTGCAGGCAGCAAAGCAGCCATGATGCTCCCTTTGTGCAACTGTGCACACAAATCACTGAAAATCCCAACCCGTGAAACCCAGCTCATTGCATGAGCACGGGAAACATTTCTGCATGTGTGCACACACCAGTGAGGTCACAGCCCCACTTCACAGTGAGGCGCTTGTAGTTTAAAAAGCCAAATAACAGACAGACAAACACACAGAGAGGAGATAAAGCCAAGCACATGTACTGTCAAACACACATCCATCGGCCTGCAGTAGCTCAGGGGGCAGGCAGGAGGGGACACTCAGTGCAATACTGCTCCGTGCCTCAGAGAATCCAAGAGTGGCAACTGCAGGACAGTGCTGGTAGTTATGGACTTACACACTGCAGAGCTGCCGTGGTGTGTGAGCGATGGCCAAGGTACTGTGAGTAATACAGAACATCCACAGGGCACAAATCAATGGTCGGTGTGAACGCTGTGGGAAGGAGCACTGAGGGACTGAAGAAAAGGCTCAGAGGATAGTTTCTTCCTTGTCCTGGGGTATGACAACAGCTTCCAGATTTACATCCTAGCAACAAGATGATGTTTGGCTTCACTGAAAATGCCTTACACTGATGAACGAGTACACTGCTGTCTGACATTCCCTCCCATTAGCTGCCAGAGTGACCTAGGAAGCAGTTTGCATGCTGACCCACAGCATGGGGCTCACAGGGATGGCTCTGCTCTATAGCAGCACGGGGCAGAACAGAGCTGCCAGAGTGCGAGGGGACAGGCAGACACAAGCTCCAGCAGCACCGGGCAGAGTGTGCACTGGGCACCAGCATGCACAAGCTGCTATGCAGAAGCATCTCTCACCCCCACGCCCCAGCTACCAGGGGCAGGTACTTAAGGGGAGTACAGCAAACAGGGCAGCAGCACAGCGTGACATTCTACTCCCACCAGCCCCATGAGGAAGGTACCAGCAGGGCCCAGGCAGCACTCACCTCACTGTTGCCATGCTCCCTTGTTCAGGACTCCCAATCCTCTGTTCCTGCACATCAGAGCAGCCCACAGTTCCTTCCAACACAGCCTCCATCTCTTTCCTCTGGGTACTTTCTCCAAGGCCCAGCTCCGGCAGCTTCCCTTCAATCTGCACTCCTGCTGGCACTGTGTCCTCTGGTGCTGCCCCCGATGCAGGCACTGCAGGCTGCTGCCCCCACAGTCCCAGGCAGCCTCTGCCCTGGGCTCCCTGTGCTGCCTCCAGGGCCTCGCACCCCATCACGCCCTGGCCTGGAGGCCTCCCCTCTCCCAGCACTGCCTGCTCCCCACCTGTACCACACTCCAGCAGTCCCTGCCCCATGGCCACCTGCTCTTGTGGCCCTGCTGCTCCCCCCCTCACCTCTTCATCTTCTGACTCAGCTCTGGCTCTCTCTCCAGACACTCCCATCACCACCCCGTCAGATTTTTCTTCCATTGCTCTGTCTGTCTTTGCAGCACTGCCCAAAGGGAGGCTTCCACTCAGAAGCACTATTGCTGAGCCTTCCTCATCCCCTGCTGTTGCTGTCTGCTCCAATGGAGTTGACCCTCTATTGGCAGAGTCCCTTCCAGCATCCTCCCCAACTTCTCGCCCAGGTACTGTGTGTAATGCAGGGTCTCTGCCTGAGTCCTTGGGCTCCTCCATGTCCTCTGCCCTTGATTGAGAGCTGCTTTCCTCCTCTGGAGGTCTGTCAGGCTCAAATGTTGCTGTCCCAAGGGCATCCATTTCCACCTGCTCTTCCTCTGAGACTTGCAGCTGAGAAAACTCATTTGGCTTTAGGATCTCTTCCTTTCCAGTGCAAAATTCTGTATTCTCTGATGTTCCTGGGAGAGCCCCAGCTTCTTCCACAGTCTTCTGCCCTTCAAAAGCAGCTTTTTCTGTGGCCCACACTGCTGCAAGTTCACCCACCTCAGGAGTCCCTTCTGCCAGGTCTCCATCCCCTGCAGCTCCCCGTCCCTCAGGCATCATCCCCCCCAAAACAGGCACTGCTGTTCCCACCACCCTCTGCTCCTCAGAGGCCTCATCCACAGCCTTCTCTCCTCCAGTGATCCCCCTGGCCCCTCCCACACCCAACAGTGCCCCCATGCCCACCTGCTCCTCTCCCTCACCTGCTGGGTCCCTCCATGGCCCCATATTCTCCCCTGCACCTGTGGGAGCATCCTGATCCTCAACCTCTGCACCTGGCTCTGTCCCCTTCCCTGGTTCCCTCTCCTCAGCATCACCTTCTGTCATTGCCCCCCTGGCAGGTGCCAACTCATCCACAAGCAAACGCCTCTCAGGGGCTACGGCTGCTTCCTCTCCCTCAGGCTGCAGCTCTCCTGCCCCTGCTGCTGTGTGCCCAGCACAGTCAGTGCCAGCATGCTCTCCATCTTCCCCACAGTCTTTCCCCATATGTGCCACTTCTACTGCTTCTGACTGCATGCCGGGTGCTCCTGTTGTGTCTGCCAGGACAGCTCCACCAGCTGCTGCTGAAAGACAGAGCATTTGTTTCATTGTGAGCTGTTAATGGCGAGCTGTTTTACAGGTTTACTCTCAAAGACATGATTTCTAACAAGCAGTGAGGGGGCAGCAGCACAGTGCCAAGGAGGCTGAGATGCTGCTTCTCCTCCTGCACCTGTGCTGTGACCAGGCTGCTGGTGCTGCCATGCAGGCATTGGGCACAATCAATGTAAGCAGAAACACTGATGCATCATGTCCTGCTCTGCCTGTTCTGCCCTTCCTGCCTCTCTCCCCCACTCTGCAGGGATGTACACAACATACCTACAAGCATGACAGTAACATTCAGAAATTCACAAACAGGCAGTTAATTGTTCATGTAAAATATGCATAAATATGAAGGAAAATACTCAGGTGCTTGTGTGTAATGGGTAACTGCTTCTCACGGACTCCCTAATTACACTGGGGATAACCAAGGGCCTTCACTCATCTCTGGGAATCTACCGCAGTGCTCCCTCATTTCAGTGGTTCCAGGACCCATCCCTGAGTGATACACCCAGCTGCATCACAGCCATGCTTTGCACAAACACAGCATGCTCTGGTTCTTTAAAGAACTAAATTTTTTGTGCCACTGAACAGACCAGGAACTCTGCCTCTCCTGTGCCACCCTTCCTCAAACCAGGAAAAGGCTGTCTTGTCCAACATCATCTCTCCCTGTCAGACTTATTTCACTTTCCTGCACTACTGCTGCACTCCACAATTACTGCTTTCTGCTCGGGCAACTGCACATGCCACAGAACCCCATCTTGGTCTCATGAGGTCAGGTCTGGAGTTCAGTCTCATTCCTATTCTGTTGTTCACAACCCGTGTAAGCAGCCCTGTGCCACCTGCCTTGACACCTGCCTTCTCCAGAAGGACCCATACCACGAGGAAGGAAGGGAAACTCACTAAGTGATCCCTGTCCCCCCCCTCAGCTGTTTTCACGCCGTGTTTACATGGCCTGGATTCCTTACCCAGGGTCACTGTAACTGCTGAGAGCACATCAGTTACACGTGGCTGCTGGAGCTGGCCGGTCACGCAAACTGAAAAAGAAAAGAGCACAAAGGAGGACTTGAAAGCCCAGAAAGCAAAGTGAAAAGGCCAACACGTCTATAGAAAGACTTTAGGTTAATAAGATTCCATCCATGCCCCTGACCTGCAGCCTCACCTTCACTGGGATCACTCTCTCCACTCGTTGCATTCTCTACTTCCTCATCCGCACGAGAATCACTACATTCATGGTCAAAATTCACCTGATGGTCATTTCCCATTGCCTCTGTTATCTCCTCCTGTGCTGATCTATCATCTTCAGAAACTAGCACAAAATCACAGAAGAAGCAAGGAAGAGAAACCATCAGAAAGCAGGAAGGACAAAGTCCTTCAGCTCTTGCAGCCTGACTGGAGGTATGCGGGGTTACTGCAGAGTGATTGGCACCAGGATCTTCTTTTTAGATTAACATCAAACAGAAACAACCATTAGAAAAAAGGGAGGGGTTGAGAGCAGGGGGAGAAATTCATGCAGGAGCACCTACTGAGACGTTAATCAGCCATCTTCCACAGCACATCCACAGACCTGCAGGATACTTCTGTGAGGATGGAGGGATTCAAAACAAGCAACAACACTGACTAAGGGACACAAAATTGTAGTTGTTCCATAACTGTTTTTCTTTAAAAAATGTGTTTCCCTATTTTAAGCTGCCAACTACATTTCTGATGATTCCTCACTTCCTCAAACTAAGACATGTGACTCAAGTCCTCTACTTATCTACAGGTAGGCTGGGAAGTCACCTTCTGCCCCATACTTGCAGTGGCTGTGATGGTTCACAGTCAGCCCTTCACTGCAAGGGAGACGTAAAGGCCATGGACGGTGCCCAAAGAGAGGCAAGGAAGCTGTGAAGGGATACACGAGTACCTTCTGGTTGTTTATCACACAGGAATACAGAGTGTTGTAGCAGCTGGAAAACAGTCCAGCAACTGATTCTCCATGCTGACTATGACAGCGCTTGAGCATAACACACAGGCAAACACAGCAACACTCGCATGTACTGATCACAACACAGTTCTGCACAGGGACTGTACTCACCACCTCCTTCATCACTCTGAGGAGACTCTTCATTTCCATCCTCCACTTCCATCATATTTTTTTCCAAAGGCACTGAAACATTTTTCTCTCCACTGTCCCTTCTGTTGTTTGCTTTCTTCTCTTCTTCTCCTCTTATGCTACTTTCCACTGACCCAGCCTGTTTCATTTCCCCAGTAACATCAGGACTTTGATGCTGTATCTCCAGTATGTTTTCATGAAAAGCTTCAGTATTTTCCCTTGATGTCAGAGCTTCTGTTGTTGTCGTTTCTGCTTCATCCATTCCTTCCTCTTCCAAAGAGAAAGTTTTCTGACTGTCCTCTGTTCTGAACAGTTTATTTTCCCCACTCTCATTTCCATATTGTGCACATGCTGTGTTATCAGATGCTTCTTTGATATCACGCTCCTCTTTGCCTTTAACATTTTCCTTCATCTTCTCAGTATCAGACTCATCTTCACTGCTATACTGAGTGCTGCTGGATGACAGAGAGGGTGCAGAGCTCCCATCTAGAAATAGCAAAACACAAATTTAGTACTTGTTACTAAAGACCATTTGCATTCACTGGGCACAGACAGACGAGTGTCTGATGTGAACCTCTGAATTAAGCCATCTCAGGATATAGAGACAAAATTCCAATAACAGTAATAGAAGAGCACTGTCCAAATGTATTAGTGTTAAAATCAAAGCCATGCTACATCACTCTCTTTCTGATAATGGAAATGAACATAGGTAGCAACATCAACCACATGGAAATACACTTCCGAAAACCCCTGTAAGTACAATTTTAAAAGATTTTAGAAAAGTTTCTTGAGTGCAGTTTGATAAAAGGTTTCAACAATTGCAACAGTCCTTCAGTGCAGTCACATACAGCACTCAAGTAGAACTGGAAATGAGGATCACTGCATCCTCTAATATACATGGAACACCATGTGAAATTCATAGATGTAAGTGTTCAGGAAAACAAACACCGCTAATTACCCATTAACATTTAGCTGTACAGTAGAGCTTGTTGCTCTCTTGGGCATTGCCAGTGTCCAAAGTTCACACAGATTCAAAAAGCAATTAGTCAAACTCAAAGAAGAAAAAGCCTCTTAGGCTCACTAAGCAAAAGAGACCAGTTATTTGCAGTGGTAGGAAAATCCACTGAGGAAGCAGCACCGAATTCTTGTTCATTTCTTACTCCTTTAAGCATCTGATCTGAGTTTACATCGGGTATTAAACTTCATACAAAAAGACTGGATTTGTCTCCAACCTGCAACATCTTCCATGAGCATCTGCATCATTTTTATTTCATCTCAAAAACACAAAAATGATATTTACATTTAACTTGAGAAAAGAGCTCGCACATTAGCACTGGCAAATGAAAGGAATATAAACAAATTAATGTTTTAAAAAAGCAGTAAATGGAGAAGTCATAGCACACTATGACAAGCTAGAGGCACATAAATCACCTCAGGATCACACAGAGCCACAGAGGAGAAATTGAGAGAAATGAACTGCCATGCTACAAGGAAGAGAAAGCTCACTTTTGGTTATTCACCATGTGGTGAATGGAATTCTTGTACTGTTTGTCTAATAAATGAGAAACTGAGAGTTTTGCTTCTCTGTGAAGATGCGCGGCCAGGAAAGATGAAGGCCAACAGGTAAAACATTAGACTTTACAGGGGCTGATTAAAAAGCTGAATAATAGAAAATGCTATTTACATATGTATGCTAATATATATACATATATATATGCTAAAAATATATAAATAAAATATAAAATATTTGCTAATGTAGATATATATACGCTAACCATATATTCTGGGATAACTTAGTCTTTCTGAATTAGTAATAATAATGCCTAGAACACCTCACTGCACACCTTTGTGCCTACACCTGGATCAAGAACCACAGCACATCACACCGACTCGCTCTTTGTCACAGCCAGACTTGAACTAGAGTGCTCTGGAGGTGCCTGAGGCCATGGATGGGCCCTGTGCAGCCTGAGCTGGTGACAGCACCCAGCCCATGGCAGGGGCGGGCCGGGGGGGCCGTGAGAGTCCTTCCACCCCCACCATGCTGCCATTCTATAACCCTCAAACACTGCCTAAGCTCTGCCTGCAGCACAGAAAGCTGAGGTGATGGCGCTTCGCTCTCCAAAGCAGGATAGCAGCAATGATGTAGCAGGGTATAAAGCTGAGGTTCCAATTATTCAGTCATTGAAGAGAGTAATTCTCAAATCTAAAAGGCATTATTTCAGGCGTCCAGGTGACTTTTGAAAACGTGCACTTTTCATCTTAGAAGGTGTAATGGTCACGGCTTCAGGGATGCCTGCGATCATTACATGTTTGCTCACAACATTTAGGGCTAATCTGTTGACTGGCACCACCTCCACTCCCCCCACTAAACATTTCAGCAGTGTCTGCTGTGAGCTGGCACACACTCACAGCGCCCCACAGATTTGGCTGCAGTTCAGTGACAGATGGTAGAATCAATAAGAACAGACAAGATAGCCATCTTCTACCAGTTCAGTACCAACTCAATTACATAATCTTTCCACACAGATTCAATATACATTACTGAACGTACACAAAATGTAAAACAAGCACAGGTCAACGTCTGTGAGCCTCATTACATAAAAAGCTGACCTCGTTTGCCATTCTCTGAGGTACTGTCAGAACGCCCATCACTCTCATCTTTCTCACTGTCAGAGACCTGCAGTGCCTTCTGTGACGCGTCTTTACTCTCCTCTTCATAGTCTAAATTATGTTTTTCATCATCTGGGGATGACTTTGACATTCCATTCCTTTGATCACCAGTCTGTCCTTCTTCATTAACTTCATCTGCTTCAAAATCTTCATCATACTCTAAAATAGAAGAGCCATACTATGAAACAGCAGATGGAATTCACAACTCTTGAAGTTCTTTTTCAGCAGATGGAGGTTAACTACATTAATTTTCTTTTCCCTTTGTGCTTACTCACTCCTTTTAGAAGACATGAGATAATCTAAGACCATAGACAGGAATTGCAAGAGTACAATATCATAGAAAAGCATCAAGTTCTTCAATAGGTAGAGTAGTAAAAATGCAATAAAGCTACAGAATGATGTAACAAGTATAATTAATACACTAAAAACAAATTAAAAAAAAACACTAGCCACTGAGGAGACTAGAAGAGTTAGGCAAACTCAGAAATAAAATGCAAGACAATCTCTTATTACAGGAGAAAATCTTGTTGCAATGAAAAAAATATAGAAGTAGCAGAGAAAAGCAGAGAAAGGTGATATACAGTAATTGGGAAATAAGATAAACGTGGATTGACATGGCTAATTAACAGAGAAGTGACTTACAAAGTGAATTAAACCCAGCTAAAGGGGGCTGCAGACGAACATTCTATTTTCACACTTCTCCAATATGTTCATTCAGTTCCCAGGTGAAAATCTTGGTGAAAAATAAAGCTTACAGCAGAATTGCCATTTTTGTATCAACAGGGTCTGGCCTTCATCCCAGACTGCTGGCCCAACAACTTGTAACATATGACAGATAACTCTGTTCAGATCTATAGGCAAGAATTCTCTTTATGCATATACATTAGAGCACACTTTCCTTTCCAGACAAGGCTGCACTACTTAACATCCCAGGCACTGGAATGCACAGCAAAGCCAGGATTACCATTGACAACTCAGCAGGTTCGCTGCCAGCACCAGCTCATGGCACAGCAGAGGCAACACATCTGCACTGTGCAGAAGAGCAGCCACTGCTGACACACCAGCTGCCCCTCAGGCCATCATTTCTCACCTTTCACCATAACTGCTCACTACTTTCTCTTTTCACCAGTACTTTTAAAGTCCTGAAGTGACTGGATACCAAAGACAGAGGTGAAGAATATCTGATGCAAAAGCAATTAAGCAAATAAACAATTATCCAGACAAAGAGGATTAAGGGAATAAGTAGATTTATTTTCTGTACTGTAAAATTGACAGATTCCAACAGCATTGCTAGAAGTAAGGCCTTTGGTATCTCAGGAAGGTGCCTAACAGCCTGATTAACCACAAAAATATCCACTGGGAATAACGAGGATGCTGTGCAAAAATCATGAAAGCAAAAAAGAAATAGGAAGTAGGAATGAAAGCCTCTCTCCAAGTAAGACATACTCCAAAAAAGGGCTTTATGCTGAGGTGTAGTGAAAGAACAGGTGGAAATATCTGTCCCTTCCTTCCAAGGCAGCTGGGTACACCGCTGGTGTATGCCAACCAAAGACAAAGCAGACTGTGTAGGTGGCACTGGTTTGTTCTCAGTATGAAGTCATTTTCATATTGCAGATGTCATCTTCGCCTGACATATGAAACGGCCCTTAGGGAGAATTACAGCAAGAGCAGATGCTCTCTGCTCCTTTCTTTTAAATTCCAATCAACAGAAACCAAGTGGGACTTGAACAAAAGGGGCACAATCAGGCAGCCACATCTGGTGGTGGGAGCGCACAGGAAAGGACAACCGTCCCAGTATCACAGACAGCCAGAAAGTGAGCTGGGGCAGGCACAGAATCGCAGAGCAACCCAAGTTGGCAGGGACCCACAAAGATCATCAAGCCCAATTCCTGGCTCCACACAGAATCCAAACCCTACACCTGGGAGCAGTGCCCAAACACTTTCTGAGCTCCAACATCTAGGCTACATGCCCACTGCCCTGGGGAAGCATAGTGGAAAAGAGACTGGAAAGAGCTTTAGGTGAACAAAGCATCTCACTGCCACTGGCAACAGGTAAGAGAGCAGACCAAAGTATTTCACCAGGTTCTCAATCTTGCTGACATTTTGCTGCTGCACATCTCTCTCACCTCCCTCCCCACAACGTAGCATCAGGAGGTAGGCAGTCCTCCCCCTCCCACCCCAGCTGTCACCATCTCTGCATTCATCTCACACTGATGTCCTGTTTCAGACCCACTGGATCCCTACTCCCACACAGCCTCATTTCTTCTTCCTGCTCTTCTCCACCTGCTGCCATTCTGTCTCCACTGCTGTCCCTTCACTGTGCCTCGCCCCTCTGCTCTTTTCCCATCCACCTCAGGCTCTTGTTTCAGCCTTGCTGAATTGCCTGACTTGCTTCCTTGGCTCTTACAAAAGCCTCTCATTCCATTACTTGGATGAAAAGACCCCTGCTTAGTTTATTGCCCAGATACAGTTACTGCCCACTGACCCACCCCCAGCACATTCCTCACATGTGAGGTATGCTCTTCAGGTGAAGCTGGGGGCCCACAATCCTATACTTTCTCCAGAATCAGCCTCTCCTAGATTTCATCTCACACTTGTGTTTCGGAATACTGTACCATTTTTACCAGTATCTTCCTGACTATCTTCAGTCTCACAATTGGGTAGTTTCGTCCCTTCTTCTCTTTGGTAATCCTGTCCAGTCTCCATTTTGTCCTCAACGGTTTCCACATCTGCTTTGTGACTTGGTAAGATGACTAGCACCGATTCTTTGCTTGATTTCTGATCAGTGCTGCTACCACTTGGCTCACTGTGAACTCCATCTTTCCAGGAACCCACTTGCTTTCCCCCACAGTCCTCCTCCATCTCCCTCTTGGGAGGGGACGGCTTTTTGTCCAGACCCATCGCAATAATGCATCTACAAAAACAAACAACAAAAAACAATACAAGGAGTATTGGGAAATGTGACATTCTGCCAGTGCACAGTGCAAAAAGAGCAGACAGTGGCCTATTCATCTCATTACTAGATGTGAAATCAGGTACATATCTGCCTCCACTTCACCGCTCAGACAAGGATACAGACAGCTCTGAGGAACACTCTCAAATCCTCACATGCTCCACAGACACAGATCTGCCTTTAAGGACAGTAAGGCCATCCCCACAATTGAATTATAAACAAATCAAGATTATCAGAAGTGAACATCAGTCCAGCGGTTGGCAACCCTGCCCACAGTAGGGATGTTGGAATTATATGATCTTTAAGGTCTTTTCCAACCCTGTCCATTCTTGATTAATTCAAGTTGCACCAAGCATGATCTGCACAGATATAATTACTGAGACGGGAGAGAAGCTCCAAGTGTGTTGGATCCAGATTCTGCTTTAACACCAAATAACATGATAACCTGGCTTCTACAGTGATGACACTTTTTAATTTGTCTGCAGAGTGAAATAATTGTGGGTGAAGAAGACCCAATCTAGATTATTTTAAATATCTGTTCTGTTTTTCCTGTCTAACAGGAACCCGAACTGCTAGAACACAAAGCACTTGGAGCAACACATTAAGACTGCTCTTCTAGCATAAAGAAAATGAATGGCAGACCCTCTATTTTATGGTTAGGAGGCTCATGAAAATAATCAAAATTCATATTCAATACTCTTATATTCAGCAGCCAGTAGTATTTCAGCAGAATCCCACCTTAGAGACAGCGTTGTTTAAAAATGAAACATACATTTTTTCCACTATCACAAAGAAAATCCCAAAAACTACAGTTTACTAAACAGCACCAGATTATTCCCTACAGATACTATCAGAAACACGCAGGTAGCACACTTATATTGCACCACCACTACTCCTCCTGGTGAATCACTGATGGCCCCCTGGCAAGCTGATAGATGAGTGCTATGATGCAAACATCGCCCACTGCCATGAATACTTCACAGTGTATTTGAAGAGGCAGCAGAAAATCAGCAGATTTGGATAACAACTCTAATACTATAATGTGATAAAAATACAGCAATAATAGCAAAGCAGCACAATCCTAGGCTGCAGCAAATGAGAACAAGCTCAAAAGCAGCCATGGATACAGAAACAAAAGAAAAAAGCTGCTTACTGTTGGAAGGCCTCAGGTAGGCAGGGATCTCCAGCAAGATACCCTCACCTCCACTGCCAACCCTTAAATGAGGTCTGGGAAGGGGTGGATCCTGGCTCCAGCCCTTCCAGTCACTCAGGTGCATTGCATTGCATTACATGCACCTGAGCCCCCCTGGGTTGGCCCCGCCTTCCCACCAGGTGCTCAATTATCATTTCAGGCCATGACTTAGCATTTCCACTACAAAATCCTTGAATATAGGCCTTTGAAGGGTAAAAGCTCAGTTATGCACTTTCCTAGAGGTGTTCAGAAACCAACCAGGCTCTACAGAGCTGTGGTACACCAGGAAGATTAATAACAAGGAAACAACACTCTAAAAACTGAGCTTGTAACACTTTATGAAAAAGGACATTTGTCTCCGCACCTATAGCAAGGAGATGCTCCCTCCACATTGAGAAATCCAAAGTATCCATGTCTGCCTCCAAGCCTGGAACGCTTCTGATGTCTGTACTCACAGCAAGAGCTCAACCTGTCCACTTGCATTCCATTGAGAAAAAAGGTGAGACTGAATGGGAAACCACGGTGCCTCTTGGAGACGAACTGAAATGTCTCTGAAACCATGGAAAGGAGAGAGGTCAAAGAATAAGTTTGTGCTTTACTGTCAGCCCACTGCATTTGTTGGGCTCCATCTGCATCGTTGCCAGAGCAATCAGCTGTTTCAGGTCAAGTTCTTTCATTCCCAGCTTTATAAATTAATTGGTAAAACCCTACCCTCCTCTGAACACAGCAGTCCTATCTCTTTCCAACTCAGAACTATGAAGATGGACACAAACATAACAAGCTAAAACTTCATCGCAGTGTAGCTCCTTGCAGAGTGCAGTCCAGGTTCTAGGTCAGTACCACTGCAATGTTAGTGGCTCCAGGCCTATAGTAACATGGTCTTACTGATAAGCAACACTAAGCAGCTGAAAGATATCATTTCTGGAGTCTTTTCAGTCCATTCAGTAAGGGTACTGCTAGGCATCTAAATGGTAGGGGCACTGATGCTGCTGCTGAGTTGTATGCCAGGAGAGATTGGGCTGTACTGCCTTTAACCACAGCTCATAGCATCCTTTCAAAGCAAACTGAGCACACCTCAGTAGGGAGGAAGTCACACTGCTCTGTCAGGTTCCCCAAGAGGTGCAAATGTGTCTCAGAGCCACAAAAGCACACACAAAAGACACCTTTTGTATGGCTGGGACAAAGCTGCAACAAACATCTTTGGGCCAGATCTATGGGCACACTGCTGTGCATCCATAACCCCGGTGAACAGGCTGAAGTGCAGGGATCTCTGCACAATGTTCCCCTATTCAGTGAAAAGACAAATCCAGACATGGCCAGTTCTGCGAGCTAGAATGAGGCACATAACTCTCTGCTTCACCAGTGGAAGTCTCCCAGTCATTCCCTCTTCCTAACTTCCCAGAACAGAATATTGATGAGATTGACCAGTATGAGCAACTGTAAAGAAACTGATGGAGTTGCATTCACATAGAAGGGATGGGAACTGGGCTCTTTCTAGTTACTTTTCCTTCTGGAATAAACATGTACTGATGTACTGCAGCAAGTCAGAAAAAGATAACCTGGATTTAAGGACAGTTTACTGCTACAACTATTTTATTAACTATACATCTCCATACAAAATTAATCTAAGCTACAGCATTTTGTTAAATTAGCTCTTTAAACTCTTTACATCATAATTCTAAGACAAGTTGAAAAAGGAATTGTAACCTCATCTCCAACTGAGAAGCAGAAGATCCAGTTTTAGTTCAGAGGCAGACAGAGCACAGTCCCTGGATGCACACATATCAAGATTGAACTCAGCTGAAATCACTTCAATATCACATCAGTGTTTTAGCCAAAAAGAAGATGTTGCCGGTATCAAAATGAACTCCTCCCATCTTTATCCTTACCTCCTTCCAACAGCTTGCCTTTGTAGACACAAAGGTTTTCTCCTCCACAATGCTGCTGATAGATTTTGATTTCATCTCTATAATCAGAATCATCGTGAGACAAATGCACACTTTTTCCCAGAAAGATCATGGTAACAAATGCATTGCTGTGTAATGAGGGCTTAGGGAGTTCTCCAGAATTCTGCAGCAGAAAATACACAAAAATGTACTGTTTTCAACCATAACAAAGGTGAACACAAAGATCACATGCACGCCACCTGCATCTGAGACTTTCAGCGTTTTAAGACAGGCCTTGAGCTGCTCAAGATGAAAAGTGTTTTACAGTTCTATTGCAGAAAGGCAATAAAAGATTTTGGACTGAAAATCCTTTGTATTGAATTGTGTGAGATTGAAGGAACCAAATTTAATGATCCAATCCTGTATTCCCACAGCTTTACTTCCAGGAGCCAAAGCTGGCTGAAGATCCAATGTAAAATATGAAACTTTCATACACTCCTAAATTTTGCTTAAGTTCTGAGTATGTCAGCTAGGAAGGTAATATACTTGCCCATGAACACAAAAGTAGACTGAAATAACCTACCTTGGCTACAAGTTGCTCTAAGCCATTTGGTGCAGTGGTGGGACGAAATTGTCTCCTTCTGGAAGTCCCATTTCTCACTGCCTTTACACTCCTGTCTCCTTTTTGCAGGGTAGGAGGTGGCACTGGTATCAGATAGTTGTTAATGACAGGGAGTCGGTATGGGGATTTCCCAGACGCATATTCCATTGAGTTCATAAGTCTTAACCCACTTCTCTCTCTCTACAACAACAACAAAAAAAGTAACTGCTAAAAAGGCCATGCAAAAATAGCTACTGAGCATAACTGAACCAACCATGGTTTGACTGCTCTTTGCATTTAGTAACATACATACTTTTAGAATTTCAAGCATCAAGAAGTTCTGTGAGAACCTTTCTGTGCCAAATGCCTTCTTTTTCCATTCGAAAAACAACAGGCACAAATGGAGAAACCAAGGTCAGTTGCTTGAAAATATCACACACAGATAAATGTCCTGAGCACAAGCAGAAAGAACTCTGCACAACCTGACTATTGGGGGGGGGGGAGTGAAAAAGGAGAGTTTGAGTCAAGGCTGTTGTCAACTGTTTGGCAGGCACGTCACCAGCAGTAAGTGTACAGCTCTGGGAACTACAGTACTGGGCAGTACTACAAAGCTGTGCCTAACAGGCATTGTTTTCCAAATGAAATAGGGTCTCACCCCACTAGCAAACTGCTGGTAATTTTCAAGTGTGCGGCACTTTTGTTTAGAGCCTGAACTCCTTGGAACAGCCCCTGCTGCAGCGCAGCTGTGGAGCGGCTGAAGTCGAAGTGGGTATTGCATATTTCCTGGAGCTGTATTTGGTCGATGGGAAGAAGCCTAGAAGAGGAAAAAGAAAACAGCTAGAATATCTCAGGGCATAGCTTCCATACAGAACAGCACCATACAGGAGAAAGATACAGTGCCAATGAAGGTAATCAGCATCAAAGAGTGGTGCTCAGATACCTTCAGGAAATTTAATTTTCTAGTACCTCTCGGTCTTGTAGAGCCAGAACCCTTTAGGAATCTCTAATTAAGAGTCCAAAAACTGTTCTGTTCATTCACAGTACAGCCTTGAAACAAAGGCAGTGAACTCACAGGAGCTGCAGCAATATGCTCTGCTTTGGTGACTTGAACGCATGAACGCTGAGAAAACGCACAATGAAAGCATGCTCATCTTTATTCAATTCTCAGCATTTCTCTGACATTTTTTCTTTCATCCAGAATATCAAGTAAAATGTTGACATCTAAGAAAACGTATTAAAAAATCACTTACTGCCTTTAAAAAGGCCAACTCCTTGGATCTTTGTTGATCAGAAGGATGTCCACCTCTATAATCAACTGTAGGCCCAGGAGCCCTCTGTATGGGACAGGGAGGAGAAGGTCATTCAGTTCTAAATATCACCAAATATCATTATTGAAACCAGTAAGAACTGGAGTGTATTTTTGGCCTTTGATCTTAGATTTTGGGATCATTGCACTTCCTCAGTGCACTAACATTTCTTCTTTGCCTGCTAACAGAGTAGGGAGATTCTGAGCGGAGCTCCAAAGCACAGCCTTCTGGAAGAGCGTTCTCTTATTCCACCTCTTCAGCTTCTTTTTCTAAAGGGCCTCCACTGATGTCAGGGCTTTACAACATATGTAGACTTTGCCTACAGCCATGTGATGATGATATTTAATGTACATATTTACATATTTAACTTTGGGCAACATGGCAGATAAAAAGGAAAGATTAAAACAGATTTATCACGAAGCAAATATATTTTCACATGTTTTAATGCGCCATTCCTGCAACATCAGCTTCTCTAGACTTCTCTTTAATGTAACATGAAGTTGGCCACAAATGAAGGATGAGGATCTTGTGTGCAACCATCAGGGCAGTCGATGGCATAGGTTAAGCACAGAAGTTACAGGTATATGTGCACACTGGTTTGTGTGTGCTTGCATTACAGCATATGAAGTATTTGGTGGAACTCACCAATTGTGAACGAGCAGCTGGTTCTCCAGCCATTAAAGGATGGCGTCCGTAAGGATTTCTGGAGCCAAGCGGTGGGTGTGGGGAGTGCACAGGGTTAGCATCTTCCACTGGTCTTCTGGGTCGCTCCATCTAGAAGAACAACAGTGCACGTGTCTGAGGTACTAACCAACAGCCATGTTTGAGCTCACTTCTGTCTGTCTTTCACTGGATGGTGATGGCAGTCAGCCTGCCTAGGTCGAGTGGAAGATCTGCTAAGGAAAGAAACAAAATAAAGAGAAGAAGGGAAGAGCGAGAGAATAAGGGAAAAGATTTGTTCCCATCTCTATTTCATTTCTCTGCAGTGCTCTACAACCAAATTCAATTCACCAGCCTTTATTTCTCTCCCAGCCTTGGCTTGGTTGAAGATCTCTTTTAACTTTGAGTGCTTCCACTACTTCCTCGCCCCACTGCCCCTTCCTACCTTTTCTTCTCCAAAGCACCACATTGGGCTGACCACCCTTCTGGAAATAGAGAGCTGTGTCTCTCACTCTCTCTGTCATCTGCCATTCCTTTCCTTTCAGACTGGTTACTCAGGCAATTCCAGTTGAGGTAAGAATTGAATTACTGATAACTCCTACCAGGTCCTTGAATACCAGTGTAGCACCACGGCAGAGCATTTACCCACAGGCATTTCCCTTACATTGCTCACTGAAAGTAGCTTTCATTTATGTTCCAAATTTACTCCAATCCAGAATCCCTTAACGGGATGTTTTCATCACACGCTTTCCCCAGTAGAATTATGCAGCTTCCATTTCTCTAGCAGCAGTTCAGGCAGTAAATTATGTTTTTGCAGTTACCAGAATAATGAGTATTTTTCAAGTAAATTTCCTTTTTTTTTTCTTAATTACTCATAAATGCACTACTTAATTCTAAGAGATTTGACATCATTTTTCCACTGCTCAAAGAAACAGCTATCTTCCCAATATATTCCTCTCAATGTATGCAGGCTCCTTATAAAGAAATAAGATGTTGAGGATATTTCAGCCAAAATGAGAAAAAAAATATTCCCATATGCACCCAGGTGACTTCATGCAAAGAAGAACCATTGACTTCTGTGGGACTTGCCTGGCAGTCACAACCACAGAATCAAGCTTTACCTACATGACACCAAAGGGAAGACCTCAAACCTTTCTTCATTACTTACACGCTGGTTCTGGTAAATATCACGTGGAGAGGCCAACAGCTGATAACATGAGCTCAGTGCTCAGCAGCAATCAAATGCAGACAGAGTCTAGGATTACTAAGAGGGAAGAGCTGCATCACTTATCCTAAATTATTCATCCAGTTCTGGTTTGCCATTTCAAAACAGAAACAAAGAACTAGAAAAGGTTAAAAAAAATGTTAACAGTAATGAGAAGCCTCATGTGTGAAAGACTCAATAGACTGAGGCTCTTCAGCTTGGAACGCTGAGAAGGAATATTAGAAAGGCATGCAAAGCCATGTCTTGGAAAAGGGGAGCAGTTGTTAACTTTGTCATACTGCAAACAGTGAAGCATTGGATAGAATAATCAGACAATAGGTAAATGAGTTACTGTGCAGAAATGCAAAGGAAGAAGTACTATTTCACACAATTTGTTAAATTGCTCAACCAAGAATTTTGCAGAAGTACACTCAGAAGAAATCAGACACAAGCATGGAAGTTTCTGAATTGCAGAGTAGAAGATGTAACCCGGATAATCCCCTGCTTGCCTGTTTACTTATTCCATAAGCAACAGAGGCAGGACACCTGTTTCAATAAATCTCTGGCCTGACTCATTATGGCTGTTATTTAACGCAGCAAAACTGTCACATTCCACCAGCATTCAGTAGCATTCAAGTCTTACCCTGGTTTTCTGCACCCTCTCCTTCCTTACAGAACTTTCAAGTTTCCTTCTTACTTCCAGCTGATGATGACACTGTCAATGTAAGAGAAAGAAGAATCTCAGTAAGAGACATAATGAGGTGTCAACACAAGAACACTTGTTTCTGTTCTGCTTATCACTTGCCCTCTCCCTCATCATTACCCTTGCTGAACCCTATTATTAAACCGCTGGTGATTCAGTTCATTTGCATTGCACCTCTGTATCTTAACACTGGTAAGGGAACAAATGAGCATTTTAAAGCTGCAGGGATCAGTTGTGTCCGTGATACAGAGCAGGGATGTGCTCAAATAAGACAAATAACTAAATTATTATGACTTGGAAAAAAAAATTAGACAAACTCGTCCTGTAGATATTATCTTATAACCTATTAATTTTAACTAGTTTTGTCATCGCGTACAGGAAGAAATAGGAGGATTCAGGTGTATCACTAAAGCTATCTTTTCTACGCTTCTCCAGCTCCAGCCTTTGTGTTGGTTACATGGCATCTCTGTTCAACTCCATTCAAAATGGCAGGAGCTCTTTGGAGAAATCACTTACCAGGGTGTGTTGTGTGGTCACCGTGTGCCTACGTCTCTGCAGGAAAAGGAGATGAGTAGATAAGGGCCTGAGTTACTCTGAGAGCTCCAGCTGCTTTCTCACCACCCTTTACTCCCAAAGGGAAGTGCTCCTGGATTACAGCAGCAGCACAGTACTTTCTCCTACAGATTGCTCATTCCCCACATTAAACAGAGCCATCTCAAGACACCCTGCACCTATTTAACACCACGGGGTGTTAAAGCAGTGAGCCAATGCAGCAAGGCTGAGGCAGTGCACAGCATAAGAACTAAAGTCCAACGGAGGTTTCACGTGAGGTATGCCAAGCACAATAACTGCCCTTTTTCCAAGCAAAGGAGAGCCTTTCATGGGAGCGTGGGGGCACAGCTACTGAAAACAATCCAGTACGAGTTAACAGCCACCAGTGCCAGTAAAAAGGACCTGAGAAGGCTTGCCCACCAGCAGTGAATGCATACCTCCATGTCAAGGACCTTCAGAAATACGGCCCGCGCCAGGCACTCCTGAACGTATCTCTGGTGATCCCTCCTCAGAGCATTCCGGCGGTATTCTTTCTCTGGTATTATTCTTCCACTTTTTGAGATCTGCCATAAAAAATGTAAAACATAACTAAAAAGAAGAGGAGGACAAAATGAACTTTTCTAAACAGAGTGCAGCTTCCCAGGAGCATGACTTTCTCACCCATTAGCCATCACCTCTTGTTTCTGCCATGGTGCTGGGGCTCACCTTCCCAGCACAGGACTGCAGTTTCACCATGGACCCAATCAGCCAAACGAAGAGAGCAGGAGAGAAGCAGTCACAGTTCCTAACAGCTGAGGCTCAGCCTTACTCTTCATGGGCTATCCCCCATAACTCAGCAGAGAGGAATTAAATACTTGCCTTCCTGCTGTGTAAGGGTTGCATCTGCCTCTGCACAAAAATCCACTCAAGGATTTTTAAAAATACTGAGTACATTTACCTTTACCAAATCTTACAGTTTTCCACTGAACACTTGAAGAACAGCTCTGAGACTATTTAAACAAGGAGAGTCCAAGCATTTCCAGTGCCTTTCAACCTTTCAGCACGTAGCTCAGCTACACCCAGATCCCTGCCGTTCTGTTTCCAGCCCTATACGCCACAGCCCCAGTCACGACTCCGTGGATCCTGCTGACCAACACTGGTAACAGTGCAGTGGGAAATGCCTGAGTTAAACAATCCTGCCCGAGACAAAGCACAATCACAGGGCTTCAATCTGGCACAGCATCATTGTGGCTGTTTGGCATGGGTCAAATTCTTACCAAGGATAACTCATCCTTCTAAGAGGTAAACAAGAGAACATCAGTATTTTGACTGCTGGAATATTAAAATTAACAACGCAATTATTTTCTTTCACAGAAAAGGAAACTTTTCAGTCTCACCAGTCCTGATCTCTGAAGATGCCTCCTTATCCGAGCATTGCTGAAATATCCAGCCAGGTGTTTGTCTGTCAGGCTGTTGTAGGTTGCGAGGAACCTGAAATGAAATCAACACGGATGCCATGAAATCCCCTTGACAGAGTCACTTTTTGCTGGTTACAATTACCCAACAAAACGCTGCCCGATGATTCATGCCCACTGTGCTGTCAGACAGCCCATTAGGTTACGCAGAAGCAACACCTCGTGCCCCAAGAAGAACACACAAGGAATGGGCTTCTGTAGGACACGGCAGCTGGGTGCCCAGCAGGGCGCCAGCACTGAGGTACAGGTTTCAGACAGCCCACATCTGAAGGCCTCCCCAGCAACAATCCCACATCAGCTGCCTCCTCCGAGCACATCAGCCAGCCCCCCGCCCTTATTCTGGTACGTGGCACTAAATGCAAAGATCAGAGCTTCTAAGAACTGAACCTGATGTAGAAGAGTTGAACACAAAAATGGAAGGCTCCATAATTAGCCTGCTTTTAAATAGTTCTTAGCACAACCTTCCCTCATTTCAGCCCCCGCAAAGCAAGACAAATAACAACATGGCAGTAGGCTTCATTTTTTTAATATTCTAACTCCATTTACGTTGATAAAATTTATATGATCAGATGTATATAATGCATTTATACTGACCTGTTATCTGTGTACACAGATGAAATACTGTTTTAATTACACAACAAGCTTTTTTTGGCTTTAAATTTAAATGCCCCCGTACCTCTAGTACTTATATTTCAATGGGATAATATAAAATAAATGTCCATCGCCAGGCTGCGTTACCATGCACAGAAATATACACAAGAAAGGAAAGAGCAACAAAAGAACAGTCTGAGGAAGATGATGGATTTACAGGGAATTCACCTGGGGTTTCACAGCAACCTCACCAACAGCCTACCAACAATACGCTGAACTTCATACCAACAGTGCTGTGCCCCCCTATGCATGTTGACTAAACACCGGTGCTGTAGCAGGGGTGCTGCATCACTCTCTTCATTCACTGCTTGCATTTGCATTCAGAACTGCAGATCACACCAGTGTCACCAAGTGTTTGCCTGTGGCATCACCTGCAGACAGCATACGGAGGCTGAGGAGAAACCCCAGTCCCACTCCTTTCCAATCCACCTGGTTCCTTCCATCTAACGTTTCACAGGCTGCATTACAGTAAAAGGCACTTCCCCTCTGACCACAAAAAACTTTCTAAAGCAAAAACTCAACACACAAAAAACTTCCTGCTTCCTCAAGGAGAGGGGAAGAGTTGGCAGGGACCTTCGGAGGTCACTGGACCGACCCAGAGCAAAGCCTGGCGCTCAGTGAGCACAGCCCTGCTCTCCCACTGCAGAGGCCAGCCCTGATCCCCTTCCTGGGCTGACAGCCCACCAGAAGAGATGCTATCCGCGGGTGCCCAGAGGCCCTGGAGGAGCCGTGATGGAAGCAGCATGCACTGCACAGCCCCAGCCCCTCCTGGTCTGTGCCACAAGGCAGCTTTACTGCTGGCCAGTGGGGACTGGCAGCACCTCGGCTGCGCCCCTCGTGGGCCCGTGTCACTGACACTGCCTTGGCAGCACCTCCACAACTCAGTCAGAGATATAAATTGCTGTCACTGGAGCCAATTCTTTTTTCCCCATTAATGAAAGCAACGTGTCCTTAAGGCAAGAACAAATATTCCAATTAACTGGCAGAACAGAGCCACAGACACCAGAAGAACCAAGGTTTATTTTGCCATTTAAAAATTGTACTGAGGTGCCAAAGTCCAACACACAGCAGTTGAACCTGCCCAGAGGGTTCACTGCAGCACACAGCTGTGCAGACCCACAGAGCACAAAACAGAACAGAACACACAACAGATCATTGCAGCTCCCCCAGATCAAGGCCCTGTCTGCTCAGAATCCTATACCTACAGGATTTGCTTTGCTTTTCACTGCCACCGTTGTTTGATTAACAGCACCTGTTTTTTATCAGCTTACATAGCCCCATGCACTGTGTTCAGAGCCACTGCTGTGTGGCACAGTGACTGATGGCCATTCGGGGACAGCAGGACAAAATCTCAGTAGGCCTCCTGCACTGGACTTAGGTAGCAAAAGTTCAGGGTTAATTATTTACAGTGCAAGTAAGTTAGTGGCTGTTTACCAAAGAAATAATCTAAGGTGGCATCAAAGCTTTAGTTATCAATTGGTAGAGTCATAGACAGCTCCTGTGCTGTATGTTACAGCTGCAGCTCACTGCCTCTCCAGTCTCCAAGGTTTTGCATTTGGGCCGGAAGAACCCCAGGCACCTGTACAGGCTGGGAGGAGTGGTCCTTGAGAGCAGCTCGGCAGAGAAGGACCTGGGGGTCCTGATGGACGAGAGACTGAATATGAGCCAGCAGTGCGCTCTGGCAGCTCGAAAGGCAAATGGGATCCTGGGCTCCATCAGGAGAGGGGTGGCCAGCAGGGACAGGGAGGTGATTGTCCCTCTCTACTCGGCTCTTGTGAGGCCCCATCTGGAGTACTGTGTCCAGGTGTGGAGCCCTCAGTACAAGAAAGACATTGAGATTTTGGAAAGGGTCCAGAGGAGGGCAACTAAGATGATCAGGGGGCTGGAGCACCTCCCCTATGGGGACAGGCTGAGGGAGTTGGGCTTGTTCAGCCTGGAGAAGAGAAGGCTGCGGGGTGACCTCATTGCAGCCTATCAATACCTGAAGGGAACCTACACCCAGGAGGGGAGTAAACTCTTCAAAAGGGCTGATAACAGCAGGACTAGGGGAAATGGTTTTAAGTTGAAGGAGGGAAGATTTAGGTTGGATGTTAGGGGGAAGTTCTTTACTAGGAGAGTGGTTAGGCCCTGGAACGGGCTGCCCAGGGAGGTTGTGGATGCCCCGTCCTTGGACGTGTTTAAGGCCAGGTTGGACGGGGTCCTGGGCAACCTGATCTGAATGTGTATGTTTGGTGGCCCTGCTAGGCAGGGGGGTTGGAACTACATGATCCTTGGGGTCCCTTCCAACCCGGGTGATTCTGTGATTCTGTGTGTGATTCTCTGATTCTGTGTGATTCAGTCCAACCAGCAGTTCTCACTCTGATGGAGATGCATTCCTAACTTTAATAAACTACTGCACTGCACACGCTTTCTATTGAGGATATAGACAGAAAAACTTTCAGACAGAACAAATCCATAATGCAGAAGCACGGGCTGCCAGCCACAAGCAGCAAGTTCAGTGTCCCACAGCACAGGGAGAGGGTTTGTATGGGAGATGACTGCCTCAGCACCCAGCCTGCCTGCCTTCCCTCCTAGTCCCAAAACAGGCCATCAGCTTTGCAGAGAGCATTAAGTCCTGGGAGGACTTTGTGAATCCTCACTGGGACTGGCCTGACTATCACTAAAGGGCACAAGCTCATCTCAAGGAACAGTTCTGCCAGCTGCAAGCCATACAGACATCCAGAACACAAACTGCTGCTTCCTACATGAATGCCTTGCTTTGGTGCTCCCAGGCTTAAGCTAAGTGAAGGGAATGCCAAAGGTAACTAGGGTGTGTTTGGATTCCTTTCTTTCAAAAATGTGATGAAAAGCCAATAAAACGATCCTCCGCCTCCACACAAGGAGGCCTGTGCCTTGCTAGGATGCAGGTCATACCATCTGCAGTCACCATAGTCATAGAATGGCCTGGGTTGCAAAGGAACACAATGATCATCTCACTCCAACCCCTGCTGTGTGCAGGTCGCCAACCAGCAGCCCAGGCTGCCCAGGGCCACATCCAGCCTGGCCTTGAATGCCTGCAGGGATGGGGCATCCACAGCCTCCTTGGGCAACCTGTTCCAGTGCCTCACCACCCTCTGGGGGAAAAACTTCCTCCTAATATTCAACCTAAACCTCCCTTGTCACACTTTAAAACCATTCCCCTTGTCCTATCACTATTAATGCATGTAAACAGTCATTAATATGCTTGGGAGCCCTCCTTCAAAAGAGGGAAGCTGCACACCCAAGCAGTCACCAACTGACCTTATGGGCACAAAGCCTTCAAACTGCAGCGCCAGGCACAGATGGGGCTGCTGCATTCATTTAAGTCAGCTACTACTCATTCAATTACGAGAAACCATTCAAGAGTACAACTGCTGAACCAGAACTTACTGAGGTCAGTAGATAACTTGATGTTCTGATGGTGCTTTGGATTCTAACAATAATTAATTGCTTTATTTCAAGGCCACAAAATTGCAAGCGTGCAGTTTTATTCAGGTGATAGCTCAGTGCAAGAGGGAGGACCTCTGGCACAGTGTGAGGCCATCACCTCCCATCCTGTCATTGTTCTCTGGGAGCAGAGGCCGATCCCCACCTCGCCCTGACCTCCTGCAGGAGCTGTGGGGAGCAATGAGGCGCCCTCTGAGCCTCCTCTGCTCCAGGCTGAATGACCCCAGTTCCCTCAGCTGCTCCCCAAAGTTCTGTGCTCCAGCTCCTTCACAGCTTCACTGTCCTCCAGCGCACTCCAGCACCTCGATGTCTTTCTCGTATTTTGGGCACCTCAACAGCCAGCGGCAGAAGGCGGAGAGGAGCCAGGCTCTGTGCAGCCACGCATAGCGGCAGGGAGAGAGACGACACGGGCTGAAATAAGAGCGATCAGACCGCGCACCGACGTCTCAGCTGGTGCACAGCAGTGCTGCACAAAGCTGGGGGCAGCAGGAGCTGCTCCTCAGCCTAAGAGCTCTCACTTCTGGTTCTGTCCCCAGCCCACAGCGTGCAGCTGTGATGCAGAGCTGCTGGAAGGGTGCAGCACAGCAGGAAGAGACGCTTCACATGCCAGGGAGAGCTGCTATCGGCCCCAGCGCCACACCGAATGCCTGCGGGTGCAGACAGCGACCCTGGGAGCGCTATGAGCACGCAATGTGCTCATTTCCCAGCAATCGAACCGACAGCAGACGCTGCCCGCAATGCACGACTGCCCTTTGCGGCAACCAGCGCAGAAACACCCTCCGGGATAAGGCGCTCGGTGTTTCAATTTGGAGCTCCGTGTGCTTCCTCACGGAAGAGATGCTGCGCTTGGAACACAGCCAGACCTGCAAACGCCGTGCCGACGTGCAACCCGCGCTGCTCCCTTATCGCATCCTCACTCCGTTCTCCGCCGTACCGAACGCCCCCGGACCCCGCCGTGCGGGCGGCGCCGCGCAGAGCTCCGCAGCGGCGAGAGCGGAGGAACAGAGCCCGCCTCGGTCCGCGCCGTGCCGGACTAGGAGACGGGACACCGCCTGCCGCGTCCAGCCCCGCGCCGCCCCACTCACCCCGGCTGAGGGCCGCTCATGGCCGCGCCGGCTCCGGGGGCAGCGCTCGGTGCTGCTCGGTGCTGCCCGACGCCGCCGCTCGCGTCCCACGCCGTTGCCAGGACACGGGATTGCGGGGCGGGGCCAACGGCGGAGCAGCGCCGCCCCCCACAGCGCCCCCGTGCGGCCGGCACGGCGCGGCCTCCCGTTTCTGGCAGCCGTTTCTCGCAGCGGGCGGCTGTCCGCGCCTCGGCAGCCCGAGGAAGGTGCTCCTTTTCTCTGCGCCTTCCCCAGGGGCTGCGCTCAGCCCCTCTAAACCCACGCTGCAGGTACGCCCTGCCCAGCGCTCCTTTCAGGTTGTTGCTGGTAGGCGTTGACCCGAAGTTCATACAATACCTGCGTTCATTGCCACCTCCGTATGTGCGTGGCCTCCCACCAGCTGCCCACTGAGACTAAACCAAAGCGTTACGATCTGAGCAGGAGTCTTAAAGACACAGACGTGGGGTCCTCTTCTGCCTTAACACTTCTTCAGTAACGGATCGCAGATGCAGAGAAGTCCAGACACTCCAAAAGATTTTGCCAACTACTTTCTCAGTTTAGATTAAACAAATAGCAGTAGAAATGAGTGCCCGTTCAGAGAAATCACAGCTCAGAAAATGGTGTCACCCTGCACAGAGAACTGCACCGCTGTGTGCCGCAATGACACCAATAGAGTCCAAGCCAAATGCCACAAAGCAGGTAACGTTCATGGGCAAACAAGGCTCTGCTCAGGACAGGGTCATTTCTCCTCAGAGAAGCAGAAGCGCCCATCCTTAAAGATGAGGGCTATTCTCATTAGAGAACCATTCCACTGAAAGGTACACCGGACTGTAACACCATGCTGCATTCTGAATGCAAGAACTGGCAACGCTTCAAAGAAATGGGGTTTGGATTGCTGTATTTGGAACAAGCCAACAATACATACAGATCCAGTCATGAAATAACACTGATTTCAGTTACCCATGAAAGCAGCACAGACCCGTTTCTCCTCATTACAGGCAGGGATTTATGTGACTTTAAAATTAATATGGGTCACAGGAAGACCTGCAAGTGCTCCAACAGCCACGTACCATCAAGAAATCAACTGCTTCTGCCAGCATGATTGTTTGCAAAGCAGCAAATATGCTGCACGCACAGCTCCAGTTACTCTTGGCATTAACTGGGGTGTTGTCAGCTAGGCTCCAAGTCAGGCACAGCAAAACAGAACTGCTTCTGCTTTCAAGTAATTCATACTTGAGAGATTCTTTGGCCATTTTTTGAGCTAGGAAGTGAACTATCCTGACAAAAAGAGCTTTGATTCCAAGCAAATTCTGTGACAAGATGAAAGAAACAAGTTTTGTGGCTAATGAATTTACAGCCTTAATTACATGTGTGTCATTGGTTTCATACCTTTGTCAATCTGCTCACAAAGCAGGCTTCATTCTGCACTGCTTACAGCTTCCCAATGCCCTCACTTCAAGTAGTGCTTTGTATCAGACTCCAGCTGAGATTCCCAGTTTCCCATCACAGTGTCAAACCAGCGCAGTTATTATTTCCACATCAACCAAAAAAAGTTACACAAATTACCATAAATTTTGTCCAACATTGCTTATACAAAAAGAAAACACTGCTAATGAATCAGCATAACTAACTAAGCTAGCACTTGTTCTTCTGAAATTTGATTAAAAAATGCATTTCATTAAAAAAAATGTTCAATGAATCACGTAAGCAAAGGTGCAGATAGAACAGCTATAAAGTAGATGGAGAAATACTTTATGGCAGGAGTACCATCTTTCCTCGAGCACCACTGCTGTGAATAATGTCCTCATGAGCCTTAGCTGCTTCCTGCAGGGGGTACTGGGGGCCCACCACTGGCTTCAGCCAGCCAGACTCCACACCGTCAAGGACTGCCCTCGCACATTCAAGCCTCTCCTCCTACAGAAAATAAGAGGCAGCATTTACCACCACGAGGTCTCTGCATTTTAGAAAAGTACGAACTGTTTCTGCCAGCGTCAAATCGATGCTTGCAACCCAAAAGCATGTTATGGTGTTCTTAAGATTAAATCAAAACGTAAAGGAACTGGCACACAGAGTCCTCATAGTCAAATTATGCTTTCACTCCTGTTTTTAACACAGACAACTGTTTCAACAGGAAAAGATCACCAAAGAAATCTCTAAAAAAAAATGTTATTTTCATACCTCAGTTTCAAGAAACCGACCAACGCCAATGATGCTGGACTCTTTGCTCATGGTGTCTCTGGGGTTTATCTCAATGGAACCTCTGCAGCCCACAACCTGTTAGAGCCACGTTAAAAGAGAGTTTAAGTTCTCACTGTCAGATTGCACAGTTAAACATGCAAACCCAAGGGACAGAAAATACGTACCATCACCCTTCCTGCCTGGGACAGCAGATGTAAGTCAGCAGCCAGATTGACGTTGGAGAGCATTTCTACTATTATATTAACTCCTTGCATCTTGGTATATTCCTACCAGAATAGAATACATAGAAAGTTACTTCACTTAGTGTTTTGGTGCTGCTGTACATTTCATATACTACCAAAAGCACACCTTTGGCAGCTGATTGCTTTTTATATACAGACTTTGTGCTAAGGCTGATGGCCAATAGCAGATGTACAGGTGCTGAGTTAGGAAAACTATCATACTGGGATTTTCCGAAATGCCACTGCATAAATTTGTTCTTAAAATTTTCCACAAACAAGTGTTCACTTTTTTTTTTTCTTTAAAGTTAATAGAGAGATGCTGCATGAGCTAGACCCAGTATGTACTCACCTTAATTTTGTCAAGATAATTAGCTTCTCTGTGATTAAACGCTTGGTGAGCACCATTTCTCAGAATAATGTTCATACCCTCCTCAGTCCCTGCCGTGCCCAAAACCTTTAAGCCATAAGCTCTGGCAATCTGACATGCTGCTATTCCCACCTGGGAGGGAAAGAGGAGGAAATCAGAACAACAAAAACAACTCTCTGCATTTTAAAATTTGACACATTTACCAGTTGGAACTTAACTATTTTTAAAGTTCGCCTGGTCATGTATTTCTTCAGCTACAGTAATTAATTTTGATCTTAAAGATATCCCAATAGTATTAAAAAAAGGAAAGGATGTTTCCACAGGCATAGTGAGGCTCTGTGTCTTGTTGTGTTGTCTGCATGCTTGTTTAGCAGCCATCAGCGTTTGCTCTGAATCCACACATAAAGTGGCTCATCTGTTAAAACTGGTCCAAATAACACTTGGCATACAGACAAAAAACTCTGCACAGAATCACCAGCTCCTCATACCAGCACTGTAAGCTGCAAAGAAAACCTGCAGGCACAATCTTACCAGCACTACTTCTGCACCTCTCACAGACCTATCGGTGTCTTTAGACACGGAATTCTCAGGATCTTAAACAGCTTTGCCCTGTTTGGAGGTAAGGGATGCCTTCAGAAAAAGCTGGCTTTGGAGCCTATGAAACGTAACTGAAATACTTCACAGCCAGGCTGATGTTCAGATAAATATTCAAAAGAACACACGTTTTTAAGAATAATTATGGAAAACAGCATGACTTAGAAGAAAAGATGCAACAATGATCTTTTGGCTGCAGCAAGTGCTTCATCCCTGTACATCTATTCACTGCTTCTGTAAATATTCCCGCAACAAAGGTCACAACACGTAGAAAAACAGATTTGCAGTATTTTCTTCAGCAAACCAAAGCCAGTACATCTTTTCAAGAGGCACATAAACTGCAGAAACACTATGTTTATCCCTTGGGGAAAAAAAAAAAAGATTACTAAATTGATATTCAGTATTATAGCATCTTAGAATGAGGACGGTTTCCCACATGAGACTGTCATCATCAACTGTCTGACAAACAGTTCATAAAAGTTTGCCAGTTGATCAGCAGAAGTTGAAGATGCAGAGTACAAGAGATGAGAAATTTGAACTTCATCTGACAGAGATCTGAAATTTCACCACATAACACCAAAGCAAACCAGGTGTGCAATTTCAAGGAGTGTTCAGCCATCAGCTGATATACTCCAGTATCTCTCCTTGAAAAGCTAGCTGTTAGGCAATAATACCCCAGCAACGCAAAGTTGCTAGCTATTAGTGATTGCTTTTCAGAGAACTGAGAACATCTTGCACATAATCAAAAACCACAGCTTTTTGCCATCACCTTTAACATACAGCTTCTGGCTCACCTTCCAACTGCAGCAACGTATTTATCACAGAACCCTCTGCGCGAGGGGCCTTACTGGATCCCTCACATAGTTTCAGGGTTACTTGGGATAACAAGATTTCTGCTTTAGGAAAACAAGGTGTTCAAAGAAAGACTTACTTTTTGTTAATCAATTTATTGGTATGGATGTAAGCAGAAATCACAGAACAGAGGGGAAGACAGATACAGGAACAGAAAACCCAATTTTTAATGACTTGCCTTTTCAGAATACTTACACCTCCACTTGCACCATGAATTAGTACGCTTTCCCCTGCTTTGGCATGCCCTCTGAACAAAAAAAGACATACAATATTGGCATGATGATTACAACACATGGCCACTACGTAGCACTGTACCAAATCTTATCTTACACAGTATTATTCCCAATTCATGTTACGGCTAAGTAAGTACGATCATTCTCTTTGGAAAAAACAGGAACACAAAACAAACCACATCATTTATGAATTTAAGTAACGCGCAGTTACATCAACATGCAACAAGCAGCAAGTCAACATCCTGGTATTCACCTCAATGTAAGGTCTCCCCCGTAACAAACAGGTCTTCAAATAAACCACGCTAGTTTTAACCATCTCCTCCACCAAGCGAGACCAGACTTCCACATCTTCCATCTCCTCCAGCTGATACACAACTGGCTCTTACTCCTTGTACAGTGCTGCAGCATTTATTACATGATGTGTACTAAGGAAGCCTTTGAGGTCTGTTCTCTTAATATTTCCCTTCCCAGGTAAATGCTATCAGTAGCTTACAGGTTCTAGCAGCACAGTACATGTAGCTGAAGTCTCTCCACACAATGATGCCTCCACATTCCCTCATTTAACAGGACAATGAAAACATTGGCTTTAGTATTTTAAAAGTTCAATAGCAAAATGCACAAGCTTTAATTTGGCAGCTTACTTCAGGAAAAGAGCACGGTAAGCAGTGAAGTAGGGTATTGTAATCGCTGCTCCTTGACTGAAATTCAGCTTATCCGACAAAGGAAAGACTGTACTGGCTTCAGCAACTGCATACTCTGCATATCCTCCAGAGAGCGTAGCAGAGGCAAAAACCCTGTCACCTCTCTAGAAAGCAGGGAAATAAAACAGAGAAATTAATCATTTCCCTCACTTCCTTCCTTAATATACATCAAGAACAAGTTTGGATTCTTCCCAGAAGCTTTCCTATTAAAAACCAACAACTATCTTTGCCACAGAGAAGGTTTTTGTGTTAATGCATACGATCAATGCCACCAACACAAACCACAGAATTTCACATACTTAGATTCAAGTTATGAGCACACAGCCTCCTCCTTACAGTGTGACACACAACCCTACTGCCCCATTAGCGTTAACCTCAACGAATCTCAACATCAGAAAACGCCACCCAGATTCCAAACACAACAAAACCAAAAAATCATTTTTGTTTAGTGTGGAAAAAAGCCACGCTCTTACAATACCCTGAGGTAACCAAGCACCGTATCTGTTCTTCAACAGCGATCACAGGGCAGAGGACGCAGCGGCGCTGAGCAAGCACACCTCGCCCTGCTGGGAGCCCAGGCACACAGCCAGCCTCGCTCACAGTACGGCAGCGCACAGCACAACGCACGGCTACTCGGCTCTGCAAACTACAAGGAGTTAAAGCCCCGTCAAGTACCTTGAATGCAGTCACGCCTTCCCCGACGCTCTCGACCACACCAGCCACGTCGGAGCCGGGGGTGTAAGGCAAAGCCGGTAGTCTAGCGTAGTTCCCAGAGCGGATGTAAGTCTCCACAGGGTTTACCCCACAGGCGTGGACCTTAATTAACACCTGAAAAAAAATTACATTTGTTAAGTAGCATTTCAAAAGGTTTAAATTTAGAATTGACAGCACGGCATCACGGCGTTTCAACTGAGCAGCAAAGCAGCGCTCAAGTGCTGAGATAAACAACCGGTGCTGCACTCCAGCCGTCACGGAATCCTTCACGCGCAACGTGCAGACAACGCAACAGCGCAAAAACCCACACGTGTGCTAAATGCCACGTCCTGGGCTGCAAGCGGGCGGACGGCAGCTGCTGAGCCGGGAGGGGCAGAGCTGCTTCGCACGTGGCTGCGGCCGCAGGGCTGCCCGGGCTCAGAGCTCACCGACCTGCATGTCCTTCGGGGCGGGGATGGGAACATCAGCCTGCAGCCTCAGCACCTCGGGACCCCCGAACTCAAACACCCGGACCGCCCTCATCGCGCCCCTTGCGGCCGCCGCGGCCATCGGAACACCTGGAAATAAACGAAAATGTAACAACGATGCATCGACTTCATACTTTATTTTACACCGTCAAAGGAAAGAAACGAAACCACCTCTTCTCAAGCAGAAGATTGAACTCAGCCCCGCACCCCAAAACGAACCAAGATTCCCCTGACTCCGAGCACCTCACAAGGCTGATGCGGTACGGGCAGAGGCGCTGCGGGAACGGCGTGCGCGGCGCTACCAAACGGACTCTGAGCGCGGTCACGCACCGCCGAGCGGTAACGAAACCCCGTGACGCCCCGCTTCCGCTCACTCTTAAAGCAACAGTCAGAAAACCAGCAGAAGCGCTTCGCGGCCAACCCCGCATCTCGCGACCCGCGGCCGGGGGCGGGATCAGCGCGGGGCGGGATTCGGCGGCACGCCGAGCCCTTCGCGCGCGCAGAGGTTTGTCCCTCTCGGGCGCCCGTCGGAGCGGCGCCGCGGCCGCCGTAGGCGCGGGGTTGGGCGCCACCCGATGGCGGCGTTCGGGCGCTGGAAGGCGCAGCGCTCGGCGCGCCAAGACTGCAGCCGGCGGGGCGCGCTGGATGAGCGCGCGGCGGGCGTGGTGCGGCTGCTGAACGGGTGCGCGCCGTTCTGCACCACCAGCTCCTGCTCGGGGCGCCTCGTGCTGGCGGAGGGCGGCGCCGCGCTGAGCGCCGGGATCCCGAAGCGGCGCTGCCGGTGGCTGCTGGTGGCGCACGAGCCGTGCGGCCGCGCCGACGTGGTGAGGAGGGCGCGGGGCGGCGTGCGGGTCGGGCTGCGCTTCCCGAACCTTGTGCGGAACGAACGGCACGACGGGCCGGAAGGGAGCGCCGCCGCGTCCCGAACCGTCTCCAGTGGGAAGCGGTGCGGCTGCCGTGGGAGTGCGGTGCCCCCGCGCTCTTAGCGGGGCGCGGAGCTGCCGAGCCGCGGCGGAATTTCGAGGGAAAGACGGCGGGAGCGGCGCGGAGCGGTGGAGCTGCGGGGATCCGCGCTGCGCCTCGGCGGTGCTGTGAGCCCGGGGATCCGGGGCGGGGAGCGGCACTGGGGCCAAGCGATCCCACCGCAAAGTGCGGAGCAGCACTGCCAGTGGGGGAAGTAACGGCTGCCCTTCGGCTGTCTGTGATGTATGCGGCACGGCGGAGGTGCCCTGCTCAGAACCCAAAAAACGCCTCGCTGATGCCTGGCGGGGCGATGGCTTGGGGAAAGTCCCTGGGTTTTACAGTGAAGGAGAGTTTCTTATGGAATTATGAGCATCTGTGGACTGTTTGTGTGTTATGAGCAATGAAAAATTGAAAGCGGCTGGAAGAACGGGTTCACTTGGATCACGCTTGCTGCATTTCTAATGATCTTTTTACAGGTACTTTGGTACCTGTACTTTGCTACTAACAGTACAAATTTTCAGTGTTAACTGAAACACTGTATGTTTTTCAGATGGCAGCGCTGGAAAACGCCACCGGCAATGTCGTGTTCAAGTTTGAGCCATTTGTTCTCCATGTGCTGTGCCAGGAGCTGCAGGACGCACAGCTGCTGGTAAAATCACAGCAAGCACCACCTGACCTGGTTGTTCTGTGACATGTAGGAGTTCTGGCTCCTGCAGCAGCTCCAGCACTTGAAAGCTGCCCCAGATGTGTTTAATGGCTGAGGCAGTAAGAGCTGATGGAGCAAACACGGTGTTAAATTTACATTATGTACTTCTTTGATATACTTTTTAGAGAACAGCCTCCAGTGTAGCCTTCTCGTTGAAGCAGGCTTTTAGCTGGTGAGTCTGGGTTTGCTCCCGGTGGCTCAGAGATGGGTTTTCAGACGTTGCTGCTGGTCTGGCTCCGGCATTTCAACTCATGGAGCAGTGTCTCTGCCTTCTGCTGTTTCAGAATGACTCTGGAGAGCAATGCATGATTGTTTTCTTCCTGCATTCATGGAGAAGAGAGTTGGTTGGCTGCTCTTGCAGCACTGCTGAAGTTCTACCTATGAAAGTGTTGTGTGACTGTCTATGTGACTGCCAGCCCATCACAGTCAGGCAGTGCCAGGAGAGAGAGGAGTGTCCTGTCTGGACTGATGGGGTGGGATCAGACAGGCCATCGACTGCAGTTCTTTGAAAACCAACCAAAATTTGTGATACGATGTGGGTTTGTTCTCAAAACCATTTAAATGGTCGAACTGTTACTGCATTCATTAGGGGAAATTACTACTTGCTATGAAAGTGTACACAACTTGTTAAAGACATTTATTTGTTTTGCAGCATTCCGTGGCTATTGAGTCTGGGTTCAAGAACTCTGGCATTACAGTTGGCAGAGGAGGAAAAATTATGATGGTAAGTACTTGTCACTTACCTGTAAGGAATGTGAAAGAACGCTTCATTCATGTTAGCCTCAAATATTTAAGAGCACCAGTCTGAATTGTAATGTGAAACACAGCTGTCATGAGGTATGCAATGGAGTAATGTTCTGCTTCAGCTGTCAGCCAGCCAAGCAATTGTGTGGGTGTCACTTTGATTATTTTATTTGTTTGTTTTCTCCCTCCAGTGAATTGCTCACATTACCTAAATAACCTTCAGAAGATTTAAAATAACAATAATTTTTTTTTTTAAACTTATTTTAGGGAAATCTTTGCTTGTGTTATTTTAGGCTGTCCGGAGCGCTCATTGCTTGGAAGTTCCATTGAGCCACATGGGGAAACTGATGGTCTCTGAAGAATATATTGAATTTCTGGTGCATGTGGCTAATGAGAAAATGGAAGAAAATGCAAGGAGGATTGACAGGTTTGTTAGCTAACACAAATCCTATCCGTGACATCTAAATCTGAAAGTGAAAAATGCATAGTAAATGTTACGTAAAAAGAAAAATAAATTAAAAGAACAAAACCCAGAAGTCCAAATTACGATTTCAATTAATTTTTTTAATTCAGAAGGCTATAAACTATTGAAGCAGAAACCTGTAACCAACATGTTTAGTTGAGTTTGCAGGCTGTGTTTGCTGCTGAGTAGAATTTATCTGATGATAACAGCAGCATTTGCTGATAATTCAGGAACTGTTTCAGTATTCAGATTGCAGTGCATGCTTCAATCCACTACATGCTTTGTGTAGTTTCCCAAAGTGAAATATTAGTGTGGAAACTGTAAAAGTACTTTAATGTGGAAGGTTATACATTCCAGGAGTCTTTGTGGTTCTTTTCAGGCAAGGAACAAAATAGGCAGAAAAGCCATAGAGCACAGAAGGTTCTACGACCAACTTGCACCTGATCACCAGTGCCATTGTGCAAATGTGAGATTAGCTGAGTCTCAATGGGATACGAGTATTTCTATCAACTGTTTGACTTCTAATCCACAAGCATTACCAAGAGAAGTGGCATGGTGTACACAAGGACACGTCTATACGTACTTCTAGTTTTCTTCCTGAACTGACTAGGCTGTTGCAACATTAGTCATGGTTTTCTTAATATGTTTTGATTGTATCACAGAAGCATTCATTTCTCAGAGTAGTTTTTCAGATCCTGAGAAGAACAAAAATAACTGCACGGCTCTTTCCTAGGTTCTACAAGCGCTTGGAGGCAGCCCTGGAAGCAGCGGGCGGTGTGAGCAGCTCGCCCTCCACAGGCACAGGGCAGGCTCACACTGTGTATGTTCGCAGAAGGAAGAGGAGGGCTGCCAGAGTGCAGGATGTGCTCCCCTCTGCAGAGGGTCATAACGAGGAGCTGGAGCCTGGGGATGACCCAGAAGGCAGCCTTGATATTTTTGCTGAAATCACGCTGTAGCCACTGAAAGGCAAATGGCAAACTGGACAATGTGCATGGTGCTCTTTATAAGAGATACAAATATTGCTCTGTTCTAAGTAGTAACACTGCTGGTTGCTACCAGGAGGAAAAAAAAAATAAAAAAGAACGCAAGGTAATTAAACAGAATTGTGAACAGGCTTAAAGCCACAGAAGCACAGAGAAGAGAACCTCAATGTTTGAGGTTGTTTTCTTTGTTTATAACTGCGCTGTTGCATTGTCTTACTGCGTAGGTCAGCTATCATAGAGGCCACTGCTTTGCTGTAGTCTTTGGCCACGTTCTCTGTGAAGCATTCCCCTTTCATTGCTGGGGTGAGGCCTGCAGAGAAGCCATAAAACCGGGGTTGTTATCCCTGAAGCTTTTAATCGCTGTCAGAGAGTTGTAGAACTATGTGCAGCAATGCAGAGGGCCTTTTCAGAACAGCACGGAGCCACTGCGTCAGCAGAGGTACAGCATGGAGCTGGGGATGAGAACAGAAAACCACAGAAGTACCTGCGGCAGCTCTGGGCCCCTTCCTGACCCTGGCACTGGGCAGCAGGTTGTGCTGCTTTCCTGGCCTCACAGCTCAGGCTGCAGCCACACTGCCATGTGCACTTCCACAGCAGCAGATGCTGAATGGTGGTTTTCTTTGCAGCCAGCACGGTGCTGGTGGTTCATACCTCACAGAGGTGTTTCTGGGGGCTGGGCACAGCTCCAGTCCCAGCTGGGAGCAGGAGGTCACCCAGATGACACTAATGGGCTTCAGAAGGTGCTGTAGTTTGTATAGTCCTGTATTGTAGCACTGGAGAAGTCAGTGCATAATACAGTAGCTTATTGTGCAGAAAAAAAATGAGGAACTTGTAAATCTCAGCAGCACTGAGTTAGGAGCTGTATGGCTTGCAGCGCTGGGAGGGGGGAAGCAGCGTTTGGTGCAGTGATTCGTAGCTCACAAGGTGGGTCACGTACTTGTTTCTATCACATAAACCTGTGAGTTGGGAACATTTTAATTCCACTGTAAAAATTTGGCATAATATGTAGGAGCCGAAGGGAAAAGTAATTGAGGGCTTTGAACAGATTCTCAAAGCGCTGCGTCCAGCAGCGGCTTGCCAGAACCAACAGCCGTGTGCCGCGCGGTGCCGCTCCGCGCTCGGGGGCCGTGCTGGGGGTCGTGGAGCGGCGGGGCTCCGACCGCGGGTTGCACCTCGGGCAGCGGCACAGGCGGAGGTGCTGCCCGCGGCTGTCGGCTGCGTGCAGGAGATGAGCGATGGCAGCCGGGGCCGTGGTACGGCTTGTGTTCGGTGCCGAGGGGACGAAGCGCCGCTGTCCTGCGGGGATGATGAAACCGAAGAAACGAGTGGATGTCGGCTCGGTCAGCTGCCAAGCCTGTGAGGTGTTGACGTACCGCGGGAGCCCCTCCGCGCCGGGGCCGGGGCTGCTGCGCGTTCCCGTCAGCCCGCGTGCACGCGCCGGCCTGATACCGGAGCTCGGCGAGGCTGGAAGGTCTGAGCAGCCGCCGC